ATTGCGAAGTTTTCACCAGGGGAGGGTAAGAGGTAGTCAACTGTCACAGTATGGTCCCTGATCTCATTGAATCTGGTTCAACGTAGAGGATTCTACTCAGTGAGCGATTTCCGTTCCCCACGATGGCTAGTTTTCTTTAACCAAAGAATCTCAGGGCTGGTGTTCAATTTTACCAGGACTAACCAGGAAAGGTCACTACGTCAACTTCGCCATTCAAAATGAGATGTGCATTTTTGTTCGCGCCTCGAGACGCTGAGCTCTAAATATTCCTCAATTATTTGTGCTAAACTATTCTCTGAACTCAGTTATGAAGCCGAAAATCGCAGAGGTAGTGGTTTGGCTCACAGCAAGACGTCGTGAGTTAGAACAATCCCTTAGCAGGGCTGCTCTAGCTTTGCACAACGCCTGAAACGACTTTTCAAGCATGCAAACTCGCGAGGAGCTCGGCTCCACGACCTCTTGCCAGTGAACTCGGATCACTACCGCTACTTTTTGACTTCATAGGTGAGCTCAGGGTATGGTTTGGTAAATAATTCAAGCATATTTGAGCTAAGCGTCTCAACGCGCTTAAAAATGTTTACCTTATATCAGCGGGTCGGATTGACGTGATGACCTCTCCTGGTGGTTCTGTTCTATCCAGCACTTACCCTTTCTCAACACACCATCTAAATGAACATACAATCCGATGTATTAACTTAGTATTTGGACGTCAAAGTGCTATTGAAGGTAATGAGCTCGACGGCGCTTCTGGGAAAATGTGGCTGGCATAGCATCTTCTTAATTTCCTTGCTCATATTTTAAGGAATTTTCCTTCACTTTCAGTAAAGCAAATTTTTTGCAGCCGGAACCAGACTCAATTTCTCATCAAGTGGAAATGCCCAAAGTGATAGGTCCTGAAGGCCTTTTGGACTGGAATCAGCTAATGGAGGAAGCTGCAAAGGTTACATTAGTCAGTAATGCTGCCGTTTTGTTAAGGTAAAATTGTGCTTCAGAATCCCCAATTGCATCCAGCTGCTGCGGCAATTATTCGCTTCAAACGCAAGGAAATTCCGCCTGCTTTCTTCAGAATATTTTCCGTTGGTTTTGCCCTTTATGGTTTTTCTTCATTCTTGAGATTCGTTTTCATTCATCATCAGATTTTCAGTTTCTTCCGGTTGACGTTAACTCCTTTCTTTTTCAACCAACACCGGCTGACGGGAACAAAACACCTGACCAGAACAGCTTCCGTTCCTATATGTGGATTAAGGCAAACGAGAATATCGGTGC